TCTTTTCAAGTTTAATAAGGACAATAAAACTGTAGTGCAAAAAATCATACCGAGAAAATTATCTTATTTAGTTCATAAATCTCAGTGGACGCAAACATGATTAATAATATTTATCAAACCAGCATGATCTACACAGTTGCTACAAACTGAAGTTAATTTTATGACTTTTTTGGATTAAATCTAGTCGATTGTCTCGAGAAGATTGAAATCAAGTCAAATCTTAAGTAATTGATTTGAGCTTTGTTTTACTTTCGCGGTTTAATTGTTTATCAACATATTAGAAAACACTTTACGTCAGTTTATCATTACATTTTCATACACTTAACATTTGTGATATTATTTTCACTATCTTGACTTTGTGTAATTATCAAGTATAAAAGTTATCAGGAGTAAACTCTACAATCTTATCTAATTCATTCTGTATTCTACATAAAAAATGTAAACTTCTTTAATAAGTGAGATCTCTAGAGTTCAGAAAGAGCAAACTCACTAGCACCAGCATCTGTTTAATTCAGAGCACATATCTTCTCAACATCACAATGATAAAATAGGTCAGAATGACTGAACAAAGGGAACAGAATCAGCACATCCTATTTCAAATAGAATATTAATGATATCAATAATAGTGTACATAAAAACTAGAAATGTTTAAACGTGTATTATTAATAGTGTTTACTGATAAAACGTTATCTAACGGAAAAAAAACAATAATAAAATCTGAAAGTGTTTCATAATTTCTTTGGTTCCCGTTACAAAAACTGCAATAGATTCAAAAAAAATTGATTCAATTTTTTGTAAATTCAAACGGATGAATCATGAGTTTTTCAGAAGTGAACGACTATCTTCAGATTAATAAAAGAAAAAATTACCAAAATTCGTTCCAAGGAAACTTGATCTTTAGTTATTTTTCTTTTTGGAATCTTCGAGTACAGAGTATGTGCTCCTCACTCCTATATACATATGAATTTAATTTATAAAATATAGAAATTCTAAATTATTTCATAATTCATTTTAGATATAAATTCCTGAGAAGAAGAACTGCTCGTTATACTTATTATTCAATTTAAAATAAAAGGCGAGTGACTATTTTCTGGATAAGTTTTGTTGAATATATAATCTGCATCTGAGATTTTCACCAGTTGAAGGAGAAATATTTACACCATCGACTTGTATAAGACTTATTGGAGCAAACGATACTTTTTTGTAAAAGTTTTTCGATTGACATTTTTACTTGGTGCATTTTCATTAGTTTTCACGACATTTTTTTGACCGAAATGTTACTCATATCATCCTTTTTTTGTAGATACATTTGAAAGAATAGATTGGTGAGATCATCATGTAAGATATAGTATTTTTATAACTAAAAAAGGATGATTTCAATAACATTTTGACATAGTTTAATCAAAATATCTCTTGAAAATGAATGAAAATGCAGCACGGAGAGGTATCGATCGAAAAACTTCTGCACAAAAAGATCTTCTATTGCAATGACACTCACAAAGATCGATGATTCAAACATCGCTCTTTTGATTAGTGAAAATCGTAGGTGTAAACTATATATTCAGTAAAAGTTATTTAAAAAAAATAATCACTCGCCTTTGATTTCAAATTGAATCATATTTGCTAAGCAAGTATAGTTCATTAAATTGAATTTATAAAAAATGATAATTACTAATTGTATTGAAATCTTAAAAGAAGAACTGTTAAGTATATGCAGTATCATCATGTAAATCATATTCGCTATTCGATTAACGTTTCCCTTCTTCTACGTTTCTATCATTCACAATAATCAAAGTAATGGAAATTGAAGAAAAAAAAACGAGGTAATATAACTAAGGTAGTTAAGAAATAGGTAAAGTGAACAACGTCATTTCTCAATGAAAAATCTTTCTTTCTTTCTGTGCGATTCAGTTAATGAATTAGTGGAAGAATAGATGCGATTTATTTAATTGAGAAATAAACTGATAATTATTGACTAAACTGCAATAAAGGTGTAAGTACAACTGTTGTTTGTGTGAAAGAGAGGATCTTTGGAGTATCTCTGTTGTTAATATTACCGATTAAAAGGTATTTATAGTTAATTAGTTGTTTATGAAAAAATATTTTTATATGATCAATAGTAAACAGATTCGACATTGATCACTTATATCTAATGATTACAATAGTATTTGATTATAAACCATGAATATCGACAAAATTTAAATGAAGAACATACCATAATGAAACATCTTCCTCATTAGATCTTTTACTTGAGTAGAGAAAGTAATAAAAAAAACTGTGCTATTGTAAACGTTAATAACTATCTCGTTAGAGTTTTATTGGAATTAAAATCAAATTGAAAGGAATGGATTATAAATATTTTTATTAAATGAATGAAGAATAATCTTTACCTAAGAAGCTGATGTATCGATTTGTTCAGCAAAATAAATGTTATTGTTGTTTGACGTCGATATAATTATTCTTTTTTGAAAATGACATGTAACAATATAATTGAGTTAGACCTTTTATAGAGGTTAGAAAAATGGTTTGTGAAAAAACAAAAAAGTACAGGTCATTCTTTTTTTTTTCTCAGAGAAAATTTTCCTCATTGGTGGAGATGAATTTTTTTTATTTATGAATCAACAACACTATGGAAATGATTTAAACTTTTGTCTCCTTAGAAACATTTTTAGAAAGTAAATTCCTTCATTATAATTAATATTTTGTTGTTTACTTAAAATGGAAGATGAAAATCTTGTTGATTATTATTTGAACTAAAACTATTGAATCTTTCTTTCAATATCTTTTGATTAGTTATGGAAAAATCCGATATCTGTAGTTATAAAATAAAACATTGTAATTTGATATCTTTGTGATTTAAATACTCTTGAAGAGAGAGAATTAGAAGTATTAATATTCTCTTAGAATTTACAAATATGAATGGAGACAGTAAAGATTGATTAACTGCCACAAATACGGATGTTTCTTTATAATAAAGCATAAATATAAATAAAATCGTTATTTTAAAAAATACAGATAACTACCATTGAGAAGTAAGTAAATGGATGAACAGGATATATTCATCATAATTCTCATTTATCATCGATAACATTTTCAAATGGGATAATGCTAACAGATGAAAACTGCATAGAAAAATCGTTTGCTCAGATTTTTGCACATACGTTTTACTGAATAAAGATTCTCTTTATCTTCGTTTTACGAATATAAAAAAAAATTGTTTACCATTACTTAATAAAGTAAATCTAGGGAAACAATTACATATACAGATTTAATCAGAACAATGGTTGACGTAAATGTTTTTAAAAAAGCATTTCTATGATGCGTTTCAGGTATATCATGCATCTCGGACATGTCCGTAGAAGTATTCACTCTGACATTTTTTGCACAAAGGTAATAGTACTCAATTTAAGAACAAAAACATTCTTTCTAAATGTCAATGCGATTTTATATTTTTCTCACTTCTCATCTGTTTATTAAAAATGTCTACATAAACAGGATAAGAAATGTGACTAAATCTCTATTCATTTGTTCGATTCGAAGCTACTATTTAAGATAAATAAATAAAACTCTTATGAAATAAAATTTTATCAAAAATCTGATTTAAAAAAACTTACTTTTTATTTATTTTACATATACAATAAAGATAAAATCAGGAATATTGTCATATTAACCTTATTTTATTGAAAATATGTTCATTGCTACAAATTCCATTAAATCAGTATTTTTAATCACTTGGACATTTTAATATTTTTCATAAATTTATATTGTCAACATATATACAAAAAAAAACAACATAGAGACATTAGTTTATTGAATGGAAAAATTGACAAAAAAATGAAAAACTACTTGCTCTTTTTAACTAAAGAACAAAAATTTTTTTTCTAGAATAATCTGAATGAATTTTTTAAATAGTAAAATCAATCGGATTCTTGTATATGTCAATCATTGAATAAAAGATTTGCTTATTTTTGAGATAGTAATAATAACTTTTACAATAGAAACGTTTTATTTGAAAACAATCATTTTTAATTAATAAATAAATACGCAATTACTTCTTTAAATAAAATACTTTTTTTTTATTTTCTCAAAACACTTTTTCTATCAAGAATAAAACTATTTTTCAAATGAAATAATGACGTATTCATGGTATATATTAGAAATGTTCTTAGTAATACTGACATTTTCTTTTATTTACTAACAAGCATAAAACTATAAGAATCATTTCTATCATCAGTGTAAAGTAAGTAGATTTAAGACAACTGTAGCTGTTATTCTAGTTTTGATTGTTCTGTGTTAATTTTTAGGTGTTTTTCTCGCAACAAAATTTCAATGCAAGGACCATCATTTCCAGAAGATAAGGCTAAAAAGTAATACTATTTAGTTGAATTTAATATTTCAATTTAAAAAAATTTTTTTTTGAAGAGAAAATATTTTATCAATAAAATGTCAATTTCTTCTTTGGAGTTGTGTTTTGATTCCAATATCAATCATTATTGGTACTATTGTAGTAATTATATTAATCCGTTATCAGTCATCATTTTCATCCATTAGTATGAAATATGACATTGGTAATAAGAATTTTCTTTAAACATTATTAAAATATTAAAGTTAGGTACCTAGTAATTTCACTTTACCCGATAAAGTAAAGTAGACAACTGTACTGAAATTGGTAAAATATTGATTTATTTGAGATTGCTAATTTAACTTTAAGTTTAAATCAATAAATCGAATTTTCTAAAAATATTTTTATTGAATTAAAATAAAGTTTTATAATCAAATGAAGATCTTTGTACGATTAAAAAGAGACAAAAAAATTAAATAATTTAAAAACTGTTTACAGGAACAACACCTGTTTTGAAAAGAACGACAAAAACAACTCAAATGCAAATAATTTCTACTGAAGGTAATAATAGAATAGTATCAGATGTAAATAAAAATATTTGTTTAGTAACAACATCGATTTCAAGAAATATTTCGAATACAAATTCTTCACGTAGATTAATAATTATTTTTTCTTATAAAAATAAAAAAAATGATCTCTTGTAGGTATTCCATGTAGTTCATTAAAATTTTCAAGTTATGCAAGTTACTCAGCTAAAAGTGGAGTACAATCAATAAGCACTGGTTATTTAGATGCCGATTCGTTTCTTGATATTGTTGTTGTTAATCGAGGTGCTGGAAATATTGGCATATACTATGGTTCTGCAAATGGAAAATTCCAAAATGCAAAAATAATTTCCACGACTTCATATGTTATATATGTTACTATTAAAGATATGAATAATGATAATAAATCTGATATACTTTTCATCGATGGTATATTGAATGAACTCGTCATTTTAATTAATAAAGGCAATCAAAATTTTAATTCAGCAATAACTTATCCAGTTGGAAATTATCCATACTGGATCGATACTGGAGATTTTAATAAAAATAATCTAACCGATGTTGTTGTTGTTAATGATCAGGACGCTACTGTTACTGTTTTATATGACTATTATAATTTATCATTTAGTTATTCTAAAATATATTTAGTTGGAAATGATGTTACCGCTGTATCTGTTGCTGATTTTAATAATGATTCATATCCTGATTTGGTTACTACTGATTTTAGTGATAATACAATTAGTGTTCTTATTAATGCTAAAAATGGAACGTTTCAAAATAGAAAAACATATTTTACAAGTATTGGACCATGGGCTGTAGCCAGTGCTGATTTAAATAATGATAAGTTTATAGATGTTGTTAATACTAATGACGAATCATATACATTAAGTGTTTTACTTAATGATGGGCATGGAAATTTTAATGGATGGGATACATATTATATTGGTGGGGCTCCAAGAACAGTTGCATTAGCTGATTTAAATAATGATACATTCATTGATATTATTGCTGCAAATTGGTATGATACATATGTTTATATTTTTTTAAATCTACAGAATGGAAAATTTCAAACATATCAAAGATTTAACACTGATAAGTGGGTTTATGCTGTTACAACTGGAGATTTTAATCAGGATGGAAAAATAGATATTGCTCTTATTACTACTTCTAGTAATACTTTGAATATTCTTTTAAATCAATGTTAAAAACATTTCATATACACTATTTTATTATTGACAAATATTTATGTTAAAAACTTTTATTTATTCAAATTCTTTTTCACCATTTCAGTTCTAAAGACACTAGATGCTTTTTTTTCTTTATTTCAAATAATAAATACATATTTAATTAAAATTTATCACTCTATTCTGTCATAATATAGATAAAAGAATGAGTACTCAATAAGATATTCACCCTAGTCTTTTCTTGAATATTTTACGAAACATTCTATGCATTAGTATCTATACCAATTGAATAAAATTGTTTAACAAAGAAAAATAGGTAAACTAATGGAAAATATAAAAAATAATATTTTTTATGACTTAACTATGTTATTCTCCGTTCTTTTCTGATGAATCATTCAGATGAATGTAATGAAAGGTTACGTGCAGAATAGGAAAAAAAGACTTGTTTATTTCTGAAGTAAGGTTAGAGATTTCTTTCAACATGGAAAACAGAACACATTACCGCATACAGCTACTAATAAACACTTTTTTAAAAAGTAGTACATTGAATTGTATTTATTTAAAGAATAATATAAGCAACATCTTCGTAAAAATCAAAATAAAGTTATTTTGTTTCTTTTTTAATGAGCATTTTTATTGTAATTCGAACTTCTGTTACTTTTATTAATATTACGATTATTGAGTTCATTAGACATTTGAAGTGCAGCACATACAGGACAGCATGAAGCGATACAATAATCATTACAAGAATCACCCTAATAAATAAATAAATAAATATGTATGTAATTGAAAAGTTTTTTCTCGTCTGATCTTATTAAATAATTTACTTCGATTCGTAGAATTGATCGAACTTTCATACGATACATACTAAGAACATTTGGAACACAACAACATGAAAGTTTCGATTCATCAATTTTATCTGCTAATGAACCAAGAAAACAACAGAAACACCAATATGCATAACAACCTTAACATTAAATATAAAAATATAAATAATCATAATAAAACCATAATTTAATGATTGACTTACAATGTGAAATATTATCAAAACAACTGAATAATTTTACTGACCATTCATTATCTAATTGTTCAAATGGATTACCTCCTACTGGTTGATTTGTTATATGCGTCGGTTCTAGAGTGATATTCGCCATTTCGTTCATAAATAACAATAGATTCAATCACGTATCTGAAATTTGTAAAGTGAAATATATATAATAATTATTTAAAACATCGAAAATAGTCTGTAAAATAGACGAGAAAACTCTATTTACTATATATTTTATTTTTCTACAAATGAGAATTTTATGATATAATTAATATAACAGGAAAGGTTTAATATATCGAGAGAATCAATAAATAAGTATGAATATACAAGTAAAAAAGAAGTGAATGAGTGTTGAAATTGTATGAATAATACTTCACATTTATTGGTTCTATCCAGTGTTTTATTCAAAATGTGACAAAATAAGAACGTAATAAATCTTAATCAAATATACTCTATTTTTCGAGAAGGTCTTTATGTTAAATAAACTGTAATAAATAGTATAGAACTAAATGCAGAACAACCCTTGATTAATACAATATTATCAAGATCAAACTATTGTTTGACGTATAGATTTTACTGAATATTATAATAAAATATAACAGCAATATCATATTTCCCTGTTAAAACGAGTGAAGCATTTATTCAATCAATGTTTCATACTAAAAGAAATTCGTCTCATTTATAATTATACGATTTTTAATCAATAATTTATACAGAAATAATCATAGAAAAATCGATGCTTAATCGATTATGTATCAGGCTTTTTTTACATGGAATCTTAATAATATATGTTAAATCATATATTTTAACACCATTTAAACACTTTTATTGCATAAGTAATTATTTACATATGACATCCAAAAAGATTTTATTTAAAGTTGCGAAAGCGTTGTATGATACGCCTTTGGCTCCAAGGTTTTTATTCAATTTATGTTGGATATTTCTGAATTAGATATTGTGAGCTTCGCAACACAATATTCGAATAAGAAATGTTTTATATATAGATATATTATATTTGTGAAAGAAAATATTGTAGACAGTTACGCTGTATTGCTTTCTTTTTATTTAAAATATAAAATTATCATTGTTTGTTGTAATAATATTGCATCTCAGAAGTAATTCTCAATAATTTGACTACTTGAAAGTTATTACTTAATAATTCAATAGTGAAGAAAAGGATTTGTTCATGAAGATATTATTCCTTTTTGTAGAGATATTATTTCACTTCCAGATAAAGTTAAACATGATAAACAAAAATGAAAACATCTAATTAATTCAATGGTTAATAAACGTACAAATAAATATATAATTTCTCTTCTCACAGATGATTCATGTTTTTCTTTGAAATTTTACTTATAAATATGGATCACTAAACTCAAAGTTTTTATATGAAGATGTAATAGATCAATTTAAATAAACTGTCTTCTATAAAAACTGCAATTTTATAAACTCGAATCTTTATATCGAAGTATTATTGATAAATCAAGTCAATTGTTCAATGAAGGCTACTATTTGATATGCGAATATTATAAAATCTCTTAGAGTTCTATGAAGATTTAAGATACACAAAATCGTCTCATTGAACAATATGCAGTCATAGTTGTCCCATATAGAATTCTAGAGAAATACAGCAATTCTATTAAAAGTTTGATAATTAACATATATAGCAAGGTATATATATTTTTTCTTAGATTTTGATATTTTTATAGGAGTATTTACGCACATGGTGTGTTCTGAAAAATTTCATTCGTTTATTTTTAGGAAGTAAAAGGAAAACATAAATAATATTGACTTAAGGTCATAAATAAAAACATCTCTCTCTGTGCACGACGTCTGTTCTTTTTCATTGCTGTTGCTGCTAGAAAAAAAACTCACAAGAGTAAAGAAAGAAAGAAAGAAAAAACCAAGTAAGATTTTTTTTAAATATTTATTTGTATGACACATGTTTTTGTAGAGATTTCAAAAGTAGACGCAACAGTAAGATGGCTGCAGCTACTTCAACAAAATTTACAGTTATTTGGTTAGATTCATTAGTTAATGCAAATGAAGAAAATCTTGCTACACAACAAAAACTATTTAATAATTTTCATCATGTTAATATATTTGAAGATGGAGATGAATGTCAACGATTTATTGAATCAGAACCAGATAAATCAATCTTACTTATTATTAGTGGTCGATTGAGTCGACAACTTATACCTGCCATTGATCAACTTAAACAAATGAGATGTATTTATATTTATTGTATGAATAAAACTTATCATGAAGAATGGGCCAGAGGATTTGATAAAGTAATTAGACTATTATTAGAATTTCGATTTTATTTATTAAGGTTTTTGTATAGGTTAAAGCAATTGTCACTAAACTAGATGAATTAATTGCTCAGATCAAATCGGATATATCGATATTGAAAAAGACGGCAGAATCAATGAAAGTCAAAGATCATACTTCAACAAGTACTCGTGCGAGTAAGTCAAATTAAATCTAATGTAAATATATGTCTGATTCTTTTTCGTTTAGGTTCAACAGTAGTTAAACCAGTAATCAAAACAAATAATGTAACAACTTCAACTTCTCAAGCATCTGAAATGGCTGTATCAGTCAAGAAAACCTCATGTGCACTTGATGGATTCGAAAAAGAATCGATTTTATCTCTTGAAGAAGCTACTGCACCTCTTGCTGAAATTGTTGCTGATATCGATCAAATGGTTTGGATAGTTAAACAGAATAGTCAAAATCCAGAACAGGGTTTATCTTCTGATGAATCAGCTTCGATAGCTCTCTATACTATGGAATGGTATCCAAAAGAAAATTCTTTCTTTTACATTCTTAATGAAGCTCTACGTTCGGAAAATAGACAACAAATGAAACCATGGTTTCGTTATTTGAAACTTGTCTTTCAAGCACTTTCAAAACTAAAAACAGTTTCAAATATTGTTTATCATGGAACAAATACAGATATTTCTAAAGATTATCCAAAAGGAAAAATATTTGTTAATTGGGAATTTTTAAATTGTACACCATCTATTAATACACTTGAAAGTGAAGAACATTTTGGTAAAGAAGGTCAACGAACTCTCTTTACTATTGATTGTCGTTCAGGTACAGATATAAGTCGACATGCATTTGATCAAGCAAAAAGTCAAGTTCTGTTTTTTCCTGGTTGTCAATTTCAAGTTGTTTCGTGTCTTAGTCCTTCTCATGGATTAAATATTATTCAATTAGAAGAAATGAAATCACCTTATTCTTTTAAATAAATTCTACTAGAATTTTCTTTTCTTTCCGTTGAATAATGAACTTATTTTGTAATGTATCGAAAGATATGTGAATATTCAATAAAAATTGTATTACTTTTTTAAAATATGTTGACTAATGTAATTTGTTTATAACTCATTGCCTTTTTTTTAGTTTTTGCCGAAAACGTCAGGTAGTACATTGCTGTTTTCATTTTCTTAACTTTCTTCTGTCATCAGTCATCTATCAAATACATCTGTTTTACAAACAAGATTATGTGCTGATGACATTTTAAGTACAAATTTTATCATTCTCACTTGTTGTTTTACTTATTACTTCATGTGTCAACTTCATATATCATAATTTTTAAAGTTCTCAAAAATATTAAACGAATTTGAACTTTACAATGAAGAGAGATTCTTTTATTTACCTGTTGATATTGATGGTTAATATCAGAGATTGAAAATGATTAAATATTAAAAAAAGTTTACTTCGTTTTAATCTCTAACTAGCATACTCGACATATTTTTAAGATGTATTCTATTACTAAATATATAAGAATTTGGTAATGGTCGATTTTGAGATGTTACAAATAGATAGGAAAACCGCTGAAGTGATGTTTGGGTAAAGCGATAATATAGAGACAATGAAATAGATACAATTGAAATTTTCATCAATATTTATTTAATTTACACCAGTAACTATAAAAATAAGCAGCTAATTGATAGGCAATATACAACATTTATTTTATTTTTCAAATTCGGATAACTATATACATCTAATACATTGTTTTCTACGACATTTAATTTCTTTCAATAAGAAGTGTTTATATTGTACATATATATATTATAATTGTTGTGATTGCTCTTCTAATGGTTTTATTTGATTGATACCAATACATTGTTGTTTTCTTTTACTAGAGTAAATACTTAATATAACATAAATAAATTGTTGTCGAAATCGTTTTGATACACAGATGTAAATATAGAATGGACTCTGAAAAACAAAGAATATTTTTTAAAGCAAAAACTTTCTAGTATTTTTTCACTCACCGCAAAGTTTAAATAATAAATCATTCCAGTGACAAAATTGAGAAAATTCAATTGTAAAACAGTAATTGATAAAGCATTAATATTGGCAGTAAATAATATAAATAAAATAGTTACATAAGGTAGAACAACAAGTGTTTTATAAACAACTTGAATAAGAACCATACTTGTTAATTGTTTATCTAATTCTCGTCGAACAAGTGGTACTGTTCGATATGGTATTTGTCTTACATTCCGATATGCTAAAGATCCAAATGCAATATCAATAATAATTGGTAAAATTCCAGCAAGTATAAGTATATAACCATAACTATAATATGGTTGAAAATTAGGATTTGTTAAAATACAACTATTTCTTCTTGTTCGTATATTGAAACTTAGATTAAATGAAATTAAAGATGGAATACCATGAATAAGCCAAATAATACAAGCTATTCCACATGCAATAAAAGCTTTTTTTGTATTAAAATATTGTTGCCAACGAGTATAAAAAGAAGTTGCCATATATTGATCAATTACTGCTAAACATACACATGTATATGATGTTAATGCACAAAATTGAAGACAATAATTTCTGAATTTACAATAAAAACTTGATGTTTCAGTCCAATCAACATTAAAACCTGTTATCAT